TTTTTTTCTGCTTTCTTACAGTTGAGTCTGCTGTCTTCTAAAATACTGCTCTAAATTAGCATTGACCTTTTCCATAATGTTACCACATTGTTTCCAAAAAGTCAGGACCCTGTGTGCGTAAAACATAAAGATGCAATGCATTAATCGTTTAAATTCTCTATTTTTATGTACCAGCCCGGGTACTCATTAAAATGTGTAATGTTAGAAAACTGAATGTTGCACAACTGCTGCAGTTAATTGATAACATGACCGTGTGCGAAGGTGACACCCCAGAAAGTCTCAACAAATTCACTTTGTATATTTGTATTGTAGAATTTGTATTGCGTTAAATATGGTGTCTCTAACAGTGAAGGCCATTAGTATTTCAGCAAGACAATACCACAACATTCTGCACTTATTACAGCAGCATGGCTCTGTAGAAAAGCCCAGACCGGTCACCCACTGGAAATATTACATGCATGAAACATGAAATGCAACAAAAACGGCCCTCAAACTCGGTGCTACATTTGCTAAAAGTAGGAATCTTACATCACAGATACTCTTTGAGCAAAACAATAACAATGCTCACCTGTAAACGTGTGTTTCTTAGAGTCAGGACCTTTATATCAATTCACTGATTCAGTTTGAACCTTAAATATCTCTCAAGGCCGACTTCAAACAAAACATCTAGTGATTAATGCTTGAGTACTTTCCACTGTTACTCAGATGTTGAATTCATTTACTTCATGGTGAATTGCACTTTCATGTTCATAGGGGTCTCTAGCGCTGCATTATAGCGCCTCCTGGTGGCTGACTCTGGCTGATCCGACTGAGACAAACTGTTAGTACCACTTGATGTCAATAAGGAGAAATAGTCACAGTATTAATCAGATTAAGTTCTAAATGACTTGATTTCTGTTCCGTTGTGTTCCTTCAAATTAACGAGGTGTTTAATAAAGGTGTTTATTGTTTTCATCATACATTTGTGTGAAACCACGAAACAGAGGAAGTAATGTAGAGGGGGAAAAAAATGGCCAGTGAACAACATTGGTGGCAGCTGGTGTGGATGAAGCTGACTGAGATTTTCCCACACAAACATCTCGAGGGTTTACAGAAACTATCCAGCGAGCAGCAGAGAAGATGTCTTGCTGATTTCAGAGGTCAGAGAATGGCCAGACTGCTTCGAGCTGATAGGAAAGACCACACGGGGTCACGCCTATCAGGACACTGGGAAACGTTGCCTGGTGGTAGGGTCTGCATGTGGCATGAACAACATGACAGCATGGATCCATCCGGGCTTGTAGCAAAAGTTCAGGCTGCTGCTGGTAGTGTAACAAATGTGTGGGATATTTTCTTGGCACACTTTAGTCCCCGTAGTTTTAACTCTGCCAACCTGAATACTCGTGTCCATTCCTTTATGACGACAGTGTAGTCGTCTTCTGACAGCTGCTTCCAGCAGGAGAACGCAGCATGTTAAAAAGCTCAAATCATCTCGAGGGGGCAAAAGAA